CCATAAAAGTTAAATTACTCTCTCTCTCTCTCTCTCTCTCTCTCTATTTTAATGGCCTGAATTCTTTTTTGTAATTTGCTAAATAGAGCTCCTAATTATTTATGTATGGGTGTGGTTTGCATGTATGTAAAAAAATAGTTCAAATCAAGTAGATTACACTGTTTAACAAAAAAAAAAAAACGAGCAGATCTATAAATAAATAAACAACTTGAAAATGAACGGTCCAGATAATGTGTTGCAAGATGTACTATTTTTAAGTCTTGAAATATCTTTTTTTCTCTATATTTATTCATCTCGATGTCGAGATGATCCATTAGATATTTTCCAACTTCAAAACAACCTTTTTTTTTTCTCCCACTGACACCAACCGACTAACACCTTTAAGAAAAAACTAAGTCCTAAACTATTTGAAAAAACCGATGAGGTACGTCTTCCCCATTGAAAAAAAAAAAAAAACAATTTTTTTGTAAATATTTTAGAGGTACACTTTCATTTTACATTTTAAAGTGTCAACCATATAAACTTTTTCCTTCATATATGTCATGCTTCTTGGTTAATCCAAAACCACTGATGTAGATTTAAGGTAAGTGGTCGGTTGCATGATCATTGAATACATGATCCCAAATCCTCTACTGTTACTGTTTCCAGCATCGCCATGGTCCACCTCGAGAGAGACTGAGAAAGAGAGATTGGAATGTAAAATAAGGGGAAGCTACAATGGGCAGAATTTATTCGATGATTATGATGCGGAGAGAACATTAAATGATTGCCGTTAATGAACATTCTTTATCACTAAATTGAATTCATATTCGTCGGCCACCATGAACACAAGCAAAGCAAAAAATGGAAGATAGCAGAGCCTATAGTGACATGCATTCTCAATCTCACTCGAATAAATCCATGAAAGGAAATGTGTGATGTGAAACTGAGTTTTGCAGTCGGTTAAGAGGAATATAAGTTGTTGAATTAGAATACCAAGATGTTGACCAGTGGCTCAATTTTAATTGTACAAGTGTCGGGCGTTAACACATGTAACATATATCTCCATCAAAACTAAAAAGTAGAGATTTATTAAAGGGTTTTTGTTAGGGACCGTCATTTGGTGACAGTAAAAAGGCTCGGGTAGCCTGTGCAAAGCGCGGGTTCGAGTCATCAAAGCCGTCACCTTGTG